ACACACACACACACACACACACATACACACACACACATACACACACACACATACACACACACACACATGAGTTATATCACACGTTCGCACTGGCCATACCCGCACCTTATGGGCGCCAACCAACCCACCCAAAGCGCCAGCGGGTTGCCCACACCCTCAATCAAAGCCCCCCAACCAACTCACCCGAAACTTTGGTGGCTCATTTCCAAGTGCCATTCACACCCGCCTGCCCACCCGTCCAGGAAAAAACCCGCCGCCGCCAAAAACAAAAATAGAAAACAAAACTTCGATCGCCGCCCAAACTTGACCCTCGCACTACAAAACGAACCCCCCCCCCAAAAAAAAACAGCACTTCGACTGCCGCTCGCCGGACTCGAACTTCACACTACTAAACGAAAACAAAAAGGCAGTAAAGAAAAAACCCACGCAAAACGCCAGCGGGTTGCCCGCACCCTCAATCAGAGGCCCCCAACCAACTCACCAGAAACTTTGGCGGGCTCATTTCCAAGTGCCATTCACACCCGCCTGCCCACCCGTCCAAGAAAAAACCCGCCGCTGCCAAAAATGAAAATCGAAAAACAACACTTCGATCGCCGCCCAAACTTGACCCTCACACTACAAAACGAAACCCCCCCCCCAAAAAAAACAGCACCTCGACCGCTGCTCGCCGGACTCGAACTTCACACTACTAAACAAAAAAAAAGGGCAGTATACAAAAAACCGTGCAGGGCCCAGGGTGCGCGGGATACGCGCTGGAAAAAGGTCTGTCTCAGCAGGAGACGTCACGCGAGACCCGCTCTTGCCTTCAAGAGTATAAAGATGTCGGTGAAGTCCAGCGAAATGAATGTGACGTTGTCTGTGCTCAGAATTGGCATGCAACAACGGGCAAGTGATTGACCAGCGACTCTGTTAAGTTAAGCACTTCTCGTGAAGGAAGTCACTGCGACTCTGAAGTCGGTAGTATTGTTACCAATATGCTCAAACCTCCTCAACTGTCCCGTGGCCACACCTGTGGGCTGATGAGCTGGGAAATTGGAGGAAGCACTGAGATAGCCTATTATGGCCAAAAGTGTGTGTGTGGGTGTGCGTGTGCGTTTGTGTGTGTGTGTGTGTGTGTGTGCGCGCGTGTGTGCATGTGTCTGCGTGTGATAGGAGATGATCCTAAGTCATAGGAGATAAGGGAGAAGAGAGCTCTCCAACGAGAGTTTTCAGCAACTAAATCCATGGACAGAGAGACGTAGTGTGGCATACTGCGTAGCCACACGGGCCCTGCAGGGCCCGTCCCGGACATTCAGCCTAAAAGCCTAAAACTTAGGGCTCACAGGCCCCGTTCGTTTCAGCCTGAAAGCTGAAAAACGAGGGCCTGCAGGCCCTACTCCGTTTCAGCCTATTTCTGGGTCTTTCAGACCCAGAGTTTTTCCAGCCTGAAACGGAGGGCCATTTTCAGGCCCTCATTGTTTCGACCTGCCCCTAAGACTCAGGCACGTAAACAGGGATGCGGAACAGGCCAAGAATAGCCTGTTCCTCGAGCTTGAGCAGGAGCTGCAGCGGCAGCCCCTGCCTCTGATCGGCATTGGCAAGAGCAGCCTCCTGGACTGCTCGCCTGCAGTCAGGAGGCACCCCGGTAGTACATAGGACTGTCCTAGGCACTTCACGGGTAGGTAGTTTCAGTAGGCACGAGTAGTCTTCAGGATTCGGCCGCAGCACTCAGGAGGAGCGCTGCAGTAGTCTTCAGCGCTAGGTAGTAGATAGCGCTAGCTGTAGTCTTCGGCGCTGGGCGCCCATAGCCTTAGTGGTAGTCTTCAGCGCTGGGCGCTATGGTAGGTGGTAGATCGTAGAGTGGGAGAGATACTGGCGGAGGCCAGTGGGACTTACCTGTGGCGCCATCGCTCCAGCTCCATCTTTGTGGAACCTGCATCAAGGCGCCAACTTCACAGGTTAGTACTGGACACAGAGAGAGAGAGAGTTCTTCTTCTTCCTCTTCTAGGTCCACCATCTCTTCTCACCCTCTCGCCACCTAACTTCTCAGACTATGACAGAGAGAGACAGAGTTGTGACTTGAGACTTGACGACATTGGATCCAGACTTGACATTTGGGATTCAGACATTTCGACGAGGGACTATTTGGGCCTGTGCCGAAGACTTGGTGTTGACGACATCCCCATCTTCTCCCTCCTCTTCGTCTATCCCCTTCCTCTTCGTCTGTGTATGGTATGGGCTGGCGCAGTCTTCCTGTGTGAAGCGCCAGACCCATTCATACCATGTAACGATGATGATGATGTATGTTCAGGGCTGCATTGCAACATTGATTGTTCGGATCACTGGTATCTAAGTCTTCCGTTGTGCTATCTTATACTTTGTATTGAAAGGTCGGTTCTTGTTCTGGTCTGCACGTTACAGTATGCAACAGTTTGGTATCGGAGCGGACCTCTCATTCAGAGGACCCGCTCAATCAAGTAGCCATCTTGCGATCTATTGATCACTCATTAGTAACGCAACTAGGACTTTAGTCAAATTTCTGAAATTTTTTTTTCTCGCAACAACTATCTGAAATTTCTGATATTCGCATTTCGTTCTATCTGAAAAATTTCTGATATTAGTAGTTCGTTTTTTACGCAACAAATATCTGAAAATTTCTGATAAATCGCATTTCGTTTGGTCTGAAAATTCCCGATAGTAGCWTTTCGTTTCTCTGATATTTCGCATACATAGCTGAAATTTCTGAAGTTAGTATTTCGTTCTCTAGGCATATTGGGATAACGATAGAAGTGGTCATATTCTCGGAAACTGGAATTATTCTTTTCTGAAAATCGAATTTTCATTCTATCTCGCAAATTTTTTTTGAAAACCRAAATCTTACGAAGCCTACCAATATTGCGTTAGGCATATTCGGAGGTTGCCATATTCTCAGAAACTGGATTTCGTTCTTTTCTGAAAATCGCATCTTTACTCCATTTCGCAAAAAAAATTTCAAGATCGCAGTTTGTAAAAGCCGAAACTTTGCGGAACCTAGCGTAGATCTCGTTCATAGTACTCTTCTGACATGTCCTACGCATAATAGATCCACAGATATACACACAAAAAAAAAAGAAAAAAAAAAGGAAGTAGTCCTCTTTTATTTTTATTTTATTTTTATCTGTTGATTAGGGCCGGAGGGAAATATTGTTAGGTTGTTTGCCTACCTACGTTCTCCACTCCCACCCACCCCTTTGCATGCATTTCCGGGTTGCTACAGTGACACGTCAGCTACAGTGACACGTCAGCAGTGCCACGTCAGACACAGTGACACGTCAGTTACAGTGACACGTCAGCTACAGTGACACGTCAGCAGTGCCACATCAGCAGTGCCACATCAGACACAGTGACACGTCAGCTACAGTGACACGTCAGCAGTACCATGTCAGACACAGTGCCACGTAAGCAGTGCCACATCAGCAGTGCCACGTCAGACACAGTGCCACGTCAGACACAGTGCCACGTCAGACAGTGCCACGTCAGACAAAGTGCCACGTCAACAGTGCCACGTCAGCAACATGACGGGCCTGCCGGGCCAACTGGCCAATGAGCCCATTGCCAACTACAAAAAGCGCTTCCATGCTCAGCTCGCTCTAATCGAGGCTGAGGAACAACACCAGCTGGCAGCCAAGGCTGCCCAACTATAGGCTGAAGAAGCGGCAACAGCAGAGAAGCTGTGGCTACAGGCCGAAGCAGACGCAGATGCCCAGGCTCGCCGCAAGGAAGCCCAGGCTTTGCTGCAGCGGCATGACGCCAACAGCATCGAGAAACTCAAGTACTGGCACTTTGAACCGAACGGCGACGAGCCAATACCGGAAGAGCAACATAAGGAGTTCATGGCCAAGCTCGTGAGCAGGTTGGTTTACACATGTAACCACCTACAGTCCGAGCTGGCAAACCGCCAGCGGGCCGTGCGGAATCAAAAGACTTTGCACGAGGATGCCACACGGGCATTGGACGCCCGTGTACTGGACCTGGAACACGCTGTACCAGGACCAGCTGCTGGGGCTTCCGGCAGTGCATCCTTTAGACGCCAACTGGAGGAACGCGTTGACCACGTAGTGGAAATGCTCGGCGACATCAGCACCTTCGCTGCGTCGACCACCATCAGCAGTCAGCTGCATACCTTGAAGACCGAGGTCCAGCAGTTGCAGTCGACGAACACGGATGACAATCCGAAGATGTACAAGATGCCAACTTTCCAACTGGACAAGTTCGACGATTACACGCAGCAAGATCCGGTCCTCTGGTGGGAAGCATTCACAACGCAACTCAGGATTCTGCCCGTAGCCAAACATGCGTACATCGACGCCCTGTTCCTGAACTCAAAGGGAGGATGCCAGACCTGGTTGAGCCACCTGGCAACCTCCCACGGTGTCGACATACCGGACTTCAAGGACAAGATCACATGGGAGGAACTGACACGGCTGTGGAAGAAGCGGTTCATCGTCAACGACGCGCCGACACTCGCCATCAACCATCTGTTCACCATGTCACAGGGCAACACTGCAACACGGGACCGGCTCACGGAGTGGCAGAAGATTGCGGCAGTGCCCAATCTGGACTTGGCATTCATACATCTCAGACGTGAGTTCTACAACAGATCCTGCGCTGCATTGAACCAGGCTCCTTGTGATCGCGAGCAGTACTCCACTTTCGCCGAGATTATCGACAAGGCGAGAGAGATCATCAAGACCAACAGGTCARYTGCACACGAGAAATCAACATGRCAGCCGACCTATGTGGAGAAGGTACGAACTGGTCCGCGACARCAGCACTTCGCTGCAGTCCAGTMRGACAGTGGAGACAACCCAGCAGCCACTCCAGCATCAAGTGACGGAGATCAGGTGGCTGCTGTCCAGCCGCAAAGCAACAACAAGTCCCGCAACAATGGGAAGGCGAAATCCGCATCGCAGGCCGGAAATCGACAACCAGTACAAGTTCCATGGGTCAAGTTCGGCTTGATCGAGGCCGAGTACAAAGTCCTCGGCCGCTACGGCAGCTGCTATTGGTGCAACAGCACCAAGCACAAGACCTCCCTGTGCCAGGATCAAGGCAAGGAGGATGTGCGACCCCGCCTCAACTCGGAAAACTGAGCTCCGCGGAAGGTGAGGCGACTCCACCTTCTACTCCGTCAGATTCGGCCGCCTTGCTAGCAGCCTCCTGCACATCAGGGGAGAACGCGAATGTCGCAAGTTCTCGTTATACTTACGAGGACTATGCTGTCCACTTGGTTCCACCGCTGGACCAACCGCTCCACGTGCAACAATCCATCGCATGCACGGTTTCATCACCATCGGCAACCGATTTGGCACCTTCGCGGCAACGTATCGCCGGGGATTCGACGTCATGGTCAAGACTTGAAGAGCTCGACCCATTGACGTTCACGGACTTCCAGTGGATGCCCGTTCCCTTGACCGGACGATTGCCGAAACCGCATTGCAACGTGCTCATGGCACAACTGCGAGATTACTTGCACACTGCAGTACCGACTCCGTTGATGGACGCCGGAGTAGAGGTTGTCGACCTTCACGTCTACATTGCGAAGATCGACCACGAGTTCAAGACGCAACGGTACGACGACATCAACGCACCATTGCTATATATACGCATTCAGATCGGGGAAGCGACCTGCAACGCTTTGATCGATTGCGGAGCATCTCGCAACTACATCAGCCAAGACTTCATGGTGCGCGCCGACCTTGGCCCACGCGTCCGGAGGAAGCCCCAGCCTACGCAAGTCACATTGGCGGACGGTCACACGCACAAGTCAATCGACCGGTGCATTGACA